GAACAAATCTAGTTAAGTGATGCTGTTTAACGTGGTAAAGAAGAGGAATATGAACAATTAATGTTTAACGTATCCAAATTTCGATTGATATGGTGAATGGATCAATGTTAGACCACCATTAGAAACTTGGAAGCATTGGAAGACCGTTTAGTTTTAGTATCGGACTCCTCAGAGGTGCACATCCAGGATCCCGCACTAAAAAGACTCGAACCTAAAACCTTCGGTCTCGTGCACGAACGCCTAACCTCTCGACCACTGAGTTGGCGTCCAGCGGTGTTATTGTCTAACTTCAACAAATTCATTACATTAAGCCGTCGTCCACCATTATCCTCAGTGAGTAACTGTCTCGCAACAGACCCGGTTGAACTCCACTGATCACGGCTTCTCACTAGAACTCCAGGAAATCTATCTTGATGCTAGTCATTAGTGAGGAGTCCCATACTAAAACGAAACGGCCGTGCATTGCTTCCAGGCTTTCAATGGTGGTCTAACATTAATCCATTCATGATATCATTCTAAACTCAACAATTTCCACAACCCTATACTAATATCCAAATTTATCTCCTCAAAATTATGCTTTACAAAAACCACTGAAAAGTCCTGGAGATACAATCAAGTTATATCACTTAAATATGTGTAATTAAAGTTGAACCTTCTTTGAAAGAATGATAATTTTAGGTTGATGGTTATGTGTTCTGTTCAACGTGTTATTAGTTTAGTACTGATGAACATCCAGTACGGATAACTTGTTACTAATATTTTCTGAATGAAAGTAGTAGCCTAATGAAAACGATTTGATTGTTAAAACAACAGATTTAAGTAATTTTTACCGCTAACTTTAATTGGAGAACCGTCGTAATCCAGAGACAGTGTATAACTCTCGATACACAGGAGGTCAAATTCAATACCCAATAGTAGATTCAATAGGTCTAAGAAATAAGCTTTGAAGTTTCATAAAAATCAAACGAAACTGTATAGTAATGTATTGATTAGAATATCAACGTACCAAAATAATGAATAAAAATTATTGGTTTGTTGGTTGAGTTAAAGAATAAAATTTGAAATAAGTAAACAGTATATGGCATAGATTTTATTATCTATGCCAACAACAAAGACATAACTAGTGTTAGGAATAGCCGGTTACGTTCACGATACTTATGTGTAATAATAATGTGGTGTGTGCTACTTATATTGACATAAGTAGTAGATGATGTTAGTCGTGAACAGAAGGTCTGGCGTCAGCGAGACAAGAGGATGGAATAGTAAAGAATGGAAATAAAATGCAGTTAGTATAAAAATGCAAGAACAATGAAGTCTGAGTCATTATGAGACGATCGATGGACATTTTGCAAATTAAGCATTTACTTTATGATCATTAGATTTTATTAACAAGTCCTGTAATTTTGTGTTAAATACATTCGATTGTCCCCAACCGCGTTCTTGTTCACCACAATAATAACTACTTAAGAATAGAGATATTACAATATTCCGCATGAAGTAAGCTCTGAAAATCAGATGAATGCTATAATTATCCACATTTTTATATTTAATTTTACTGTATCAAAGCTGGATAACTCTAATCAAATAATATTTCAGACTAGTCATTGATAATTGATTATTTGGTTATAAAATTGATTTTTTGTTCACCGGATAACGAACTCAAACTACATTCTCTCTGCTTTGGTCTAAGTAAACGGATAGACTTTATACCATAAAAATATGTTTCAAAACTGCTGAGAAATACAACTAAACTTGTTAATAAAAGTTGAATAATAGGACAATTTTACAAAATAATTAAAAATGTTGTATAACTTTGTATGCAGACTAGGTCATGGATACTAAACTTTGTTTTTATTCATGTTAAATGAATAAATAAAAGTAGAATTCTATAACAAACAAAAGTGTTAGAGAAAGCGAGAGAACATTTATTTAGTCTTTAATGAGGTTAACTATAAACAGACTATTTTTAAGGATATCGATCACAGAGATATAACAATTTTTTTTATTCATAGAAGTTGAAACTCCTGATATCTGAGAAGTGGAAGCTAATTGTGCCTGAGGTTAAATTCAGTAAATCGACCTGGGTCTTTGTTGAGAAATTAATAGATTGTAACAGGAAACACTGAGGTTAGGAATTTCGAATTTTATTCTAAATCATCTTGGTTCATGACAATGTTGTGAAATCTTTTGAAGTACTAACTTGGCAGATTAAATCTTTGATATGTGGAATAGAACAGTACTAAGTTGTAAATCTATAACGCAATATTTTCTCCTCATTGTAGATGAATAAATACTGTCAGTGAAAAGAAAATAATGATAAAGATTGACAGATTCTAAAATAAATTTAAATGGTCTTAGATATCCATCAATTTTAAGCAATCAATAGAAGCCAATGCTGTGGACGGTCTCTTAAATTATGAGTAGAGGAAAATAAGTGATACATCAAGTTTTTGTGGTTTATGTCGTGAAATTGGGTAATTAGACAGGTAATTAACTATTTCATAGTATCAATTCATTTACTTTTGTTTATTTGAGTCTTCCTGTTGATGTTTAGTACTACAATTGATCAGTCTGTTATTGGTATATGCGCATCCTGTGCGGATTGCCTCAATAATGCCTTAAGTTACGAGCATTATAAGCAGATATGGATGGTGACTGATTAATTGCAATCCTAAACATCAATAGGACGATTCAAACAAACAATACCAAATGAATTTAACTTCAAGCTAGTGGCTATCAGGACTTAGTAGCTAAGTGTTTTAAGAGAATGGTTCTGGATTCGTGTCCCGGAGTGAACATTAACTCTGGGATTCAGGTACATCCAGTTAGTGAGTCCCAGATAGGACGAAATGCGCGTCCTGGATTCCATTGCTTAGTATGTTTAGAAATCTCAATTGGTTGTTGTACTTAATCTGCATTATTTTATTTGATAATGAATAGCTAACGTGATATTAAATGGCTATCACAATCTTTTTCTACGATTGGTTGATATTGACAACTCATTTTAAATATATATGAATAATGGCGTGTTGAAAAAATACAGATATCGAAGCACGATTTTGAGTCATCAACCTCTAGCTATGTGTATACCAGTTTCTACTATTAATTGTTTTGAAATAGACGATTTCCTAGTATACACTAAACGATGGTCTGCAATAAAGTCCTGCGTTCCATCTTTCTGAATGCCAAATCGTTAATTTCAAGTCAATGAAAAGAACATTGGTATCCTGATGAATTAAAAATAACTTATGTCCTACTGGAGATCCTATGATGAGAACTATGTCGAATGTTGTTCAACTTGGTCTATGTTTAATTTCTAATTTCTCTTGATATTCTCATTTTCCGTTAAAATCAAAAAAATTTCATCTACCATATTACATAAAATGAGTATGTGTACAGTTTTATGTTTTATCTATTATCCTTCATAACTTCTTTTCGGATTTAGGAGTAAAGATTATTCTGTACAGTATAGAATGTTGAAATCGAGTAGTAGAGCAAACAATGAATATAATGTTGTATAGATATTTAAACTTTTTCAAACAGTTTTTTGGCAAAGTTGTTTTGTACCGGATGAGGTCACTGACCCTATGCCAAATCCTCCTTCTTTACTCGAACTTGGGACTTGCAGTGACCCTAAAGGAGCTATAAGTGGAGTTATTGATAACTGAGTCATGACCAATGTCGTTTGTATTAAGCCCTCATAGGTGCTGATCGAATTCTATCGATCACGTTGCTATGTTTAAGTAACTCGACATCGTATGGATTGTGTTGAACTTCAAGGTGGTGATTGGAGGTAGTTGATATGATACCCTGGTTGACCTAGGTTTCGTGCTACTTGGCACTCACCAGAAAGTTGTAAATTTAGGCTTGAGGGAACTGATTCTCTCTGATGGATTCGACTTCAAGTCACCCAGCTTCACAGTATAAGATATTGCAACTAAGCTATTAGAGCCCTGTCTTTTCTCTTAGACATGTATGCATAGTACTATTATAAATACTATTCTTTACAGAAACTACGTTTCATTTTATATAGTTTTACTTATTTATGCATATAAATTTTGTAATGTATATAAACAATAGGAGTAACTTACAGACATATCTTAGTGATTACGATTTTATACCCTACTGAATTTATATCAACGAGTGAAGCGGGTATTATTAATATTATTATTAAACTAAATGGTAGGTTTTAAACTTAAATACCCTGTAATGGAACTGGAATAATCTTTCTCTACCCTATTAATTAACAAACATAACATCTCAGTCCGCCCACTAAGAAAACATTGTTTCCTAACTGTTTGGTCTTATCCAACATTTATTATTAAAAAACAACACAAATGGCATTGTAGTTACGCCACTTTCTTAGCGTACCTATGTTCTTATCGTGCTGCTTACTATGGAAAACTCAGTGACTACAAGACCGATGGTGATTACAGTATTCTAAAATTCTGTCGCCTAATATTATTCATTTCACTTGTATTATTAAAATCTTTGTGACAAATGTTCAGACAAAACAATTTCTGAATCACTTCACTTTTTAAATCTTATCTCCCATTTTGTACTAACCTGATCATGCCTTTAATTTGGTATGCATTCTATCATTATTTTCAGAATATATATACAAACTTTAATAAATGGTATTTATACATCCGTTGGTTTGTCTAATAGAGATAATCTTTTGTGAAGTTTTTGTTATGTAAAATTAGTTTTCGTCACACTTAAACATTACTTAGAATTGTCTATATATGCAAAGAGAAAGTAACAAATTAACCTTACAATAGTATTTAATTTACAAAATGTATTGTAGGGTAATTTCTCGTTTTAACTAGCGCAATAAGTGTACAAATGTGATTTCGACTTTATTATACAACTCCAAATCGCATTTGACAATTAACAGGAAAAACTTCAATCTGGAAAAATCTAATAAGTTAGAAAAAGGGGTTAAACACATCATGTTTCTGTCTTTATGTAAGTTTATATGAAATCACGAAAACTATTAAATGTTTATAGACTTTCCACTGGTATATAATAAAAGTGGGACAGTGATGGTAAATAGACTTAACACTGACATAAGTTTTAGCAAAGAAAAATATCTTATATAAATTTTCACATTGATTTTAGAACTTATTAAGCTAAAACTGTAATAAAACACTCTTCAGAACATACGTCTTTTTCTAAAGTGCATAGCCGTTTACTACTACTACTACTACTACTACTACTACTACTACTACTACTACTACTACTACTACTACTACTACTACTACTACTACTACTACTACTACTACTACTACTACTACTACTACTACTACTACTACTACTACTACTACTACTACTACTACTACTACTACTACTACTACTACTACTACTACTACTACTACTACTACTACTACTACTACTACTACTACTACTACTACTACTACTACTACTACTACTACTACTACTACTACTACTACTACTACTACTACTACTACTACTACTACTACTACTACTACTACTACTACTACTACTACTACTACTACTACTACTACTACTACTCCTACTACTACTACTACTACTACTACTACTACTACTACTACTACTACTACTACTACTACTACTACTACTACTACTACTACTACTACTACTACTACTACTACTACTACTACTACTACTACTACTACTACTACTACTACTACTACTACTACTTGTCCTTAAGCATGTTTCTTACTTAGAAGTTAGTTAATAAATTTATAATTTCCACACTGATGTGATTTCCAAGCTTAGGGGTAATATAAAAAGGATTTAGCGATGCTGAATCTCATATTAGGTCAGAACAATTATAGGTTACTGTTTATAACAGAATATTTCACTAAAGTGGTATTATAGGCCTTTAATGAGAATTTATCTTTAGATGGTCATATTACAGTCACTCAAATACTGACATAGAAAAATTCAATATTCTTAGTATAGAGGGTTTATGGAGATTGTTGAGTTTTATAGTTTACATCATGAACTGGTCATTGATATTTTAGTAACCACTGAAAACCAAAAGGCACTGGAAATCCTTTTTTCTAAAACGGGATTTTTCAGTAGACCACATACACGATTCTAAGCTGGAATCGAGCCCAGTAACATCAGGATTCATAGAGAATTTTTAAAGATCAAACCATTGATGCTAGATCCAGTAACGGACGAATTTAAATTCAATCGATTCTCTATGAAACACAACCATCTATTTATATTGACTTATGACTACGTCGAATCTAACTTAGTTAAAAATCCTTTGGATTCGAATTCACACTGACTCCAAGACTACTCTCTCAGAAGTAGTCATTAGTGATCATAGATGACCAATGCATTTTCCGTCAAAAATGGAGGTTTTGGGTTCGATCACTAATGGAATCAAGGTTGCCACCTCATGCAACGTTACATTCTAGCACCGTATAGGTCTCCACCACTTCCCAGTTTCCATTCATTTACCAATTACATGTAATACACTACACAGAACATTAAAATATCAGTCTCTTGAAATTAAGCGAAATTTCCTTTACCAAATTTAACTAGTTACAGTGATTGTAGCATTGTAAATGATTAGTGGAGAAATGTAAACAAATATTTCTATATTCAATTTTTGGTCATTTATAGAACTAATCAACAGGAAGGAGAAGTGATTTACCGACATCACAGAATTAATATGTTTGTGTTCAGGAACTTTATTGGAAAATGAAAAGAATATATATTTGACTGATATTGATGATGATGACGATGATGGTAAACTCCTTCGATTACAGTAGTAGCTCATAACATCAAAAATCGGTACTCCAATATTCAATCAATTCACTTCATATCATGCCTCAATTCATACACTTCTACTATCGAAAAACTAATCACACTGCACACAGATCTCCAACTCCACTAACTTGTCAGTAAGTAGAACATGTTGTGATGTTGTAATGAATCCATGATCATTGTCAATCGAACTCAACAACTTGCATCATCATGAATAATTTACAATAGAATACAATGTTTTCTGGTGTATGAACACCGATCCGATAAGTCACTTGACAGACTGTCATCCTAAATATGTGTAGAATTTTATAAATGTATAGATAAAATGAGAAACTGTGTATTTTTGAGTGTGACGTTGTTGGCATGGTGACAGATATTTATAGCGGTGTAATTAATTATATAGATTGATAGATTTCATTCATCTCGGACGTTCGTAATAAGATTAGCTTTAGTTAAATTCCTCATGAATTTTTCGAAAATACATTTCAAAGTAAAAAGAAGTGTCTCGATGCTTCTAATTACAAACTGATAATATTCAATATATCATTGAAAACGAGAAAGTAATACTGACCTTAAAATTTTACATTCACACTTTGAAAGACTGTAAAACCTGACAACTAACTATAATCCTTTCACAGTCATTGAGTTGGATTTTAATTCTTAGCCAACTGACATTAAAACCTGTATTCATTTATTTCGAAGCAACATGAAACGCAAATCATTCAACATACCACTTACTAAATATCAAAAACTTTTATCCCTGTTAACACGTTCCCCTTTAAGTTGAATTCTCAACAGAACACCTTACAATTGATTGATTAGTGAATTTCACATAAATTGGAGTATTAAAAATTATCTACATTAAAAATAAATAACTTCGATGCATTGCACAGTGTCTAATTCATCATTAACGTACAATGTGGATTGACTACTATCTATTATTAGCATAAAATATTCTGTTCTGACAGTTAAAAATTACATTAAGACATCCTACTCAAGTTTATCCAGAAAAAGAAAAAAATGTTATATTTAAACTGTAAAGAGAAAAATAAACAACAACAACAACAACAACAGAACAACCACTTTCATCTATGTGCAGATAACTGTGACTAGTATACACAGAGTAAAACCTACATTGAATAATGATTTATACACTTGTAAATTGTTGTCTTGTCAGTTGAAAACACGTAACATTTTATTACAACAAAAGAGATAGTAACTCACTGAAGACAATGGTGGATGTGTCGCTCAATTTCGTGGATTAGTTGAAGTTAGATATTAACACTGTTGGATGCCAGCTCGGTGGTCTAGTGGTTAAGTGATCGCGCGCGAAACCAGTAGGTCCTGGGTTGGAATGTTGCGGAAGGAGGGATCGTGGATGCGCACTGCTGAGGAGTCCCACAATGGGACGAAGTGGCCGTCCAGTGCTTCCAGGTTTTCCATGGTGGTCTAGCTTCAAGTGACTCATGATCTTAACCATTAAAATATAAATATTTGTTAAACTTATAATTATTGTACCAATGTATCAAAACAAAATTGTTCATAACTCAACAAAATTTGTACAGAATGTTATATAATACCAATGGTAATCACAGTAATTTGACAGTTTTATATTATAAGGGAATAAAAACATAGGAACTCAGCTCTTCTAGACGACAGTACTGATAAAATCACTAACATATTGATGTGTTTATATAAACTTTGTGTATGTCCTGTTTGTAACGCGTAAAAGAATACATATTTATTTTTTTAGGGAAAATGATTATCAAAGAAAAAAATAGCAAGAATTGAATGAAGGATAATATCACTGTTATTGATATTAATATGATTATATTAATTACACTAAAATTAAGACATTTAAATGATAGAATGTTGACCCATTGGTGCAAAAAATAAAGATTCGTCGTAAGACTCAAAGGTTCTGGGTTTGAATATTGGTGAATTCGTCAATGCAAACTGTTGAAGGTCTCATACTAGGAGGTGAATGCTGTCTACCACTTCCTTGTTGATAGTGCTGAGTTTGTGATATAAACGATAAAATTTAATGATCGCTAAAAACCTCATATAGTAATAAGAATAACAATAAAGTAATTGAAAATAGATTTATTCAGTGGATTTTGTAATTTTGTAATCAACGTTATGTTTATGTACTTGGACTTTAATTTCTTGTGTATTGTGTTTTGATCGATTTTTAATTTACTTATTTGAACTAGTTCGGTTAGGAATTCGTTGAATGTAAAGTAATTATAGTGAAGATCAATAAGATAACACCTTTAACATTGAAAAAATGTTTAAGATAATTTTCTTTGAGTAGTTGAATTCATTCGGATTAATTTAATTCGATTGAACAATCAGTAATGTCATGCTTATTAGTACAGTTTTTTACCGGCTTTTATAATTGAAGTTGAGGTTAAACAAATGCCCTGACTGCCTTAATAAATTTGTGTGTATAAATGGATTACATAGTTTTTTCTCCCCAGATCTGATGTGATTATCAACAGTTAGATTACATATTTTGGAGCATTTTCGATTAGAGAAGTTTGATAATAGGCAAGGTTATAGTTTTTCAGGAACTGGCCTGGTTTTGTGCATAAATATAAATACTATGTTATTAATTAGTTTAAATTAGGATTAATTCAATTTATGTGTATTGGTTGTTTGAATTTTCTAATTGATATTTAGGGCTTCAATTGATCAGTATGGGGATATGATCAATCGCTTTTGGCAAATGTACATCTTATGCGGATTGTTTTGATACTTCTATCAATTTACAAGGATTTTTTAAACTCGGTTGGATGGTGGCTAGAAATGGAGTTTAGGGCACACAAACGCATACACAAAGCTACATGGATTTCATCGGATCACACTACGCAGAACCAAATCAACCATATCTGCCTCAGTTAAAAGTTCAGGAGGATGTGAGAACCAAGAGAGGAGCTGATATAGCATCAGGTCATCACTTGCTAGTCGCTAAGATGAAATTGATACTCAAGAAGCACCGGACAATGGGGCGGACAATATCACAGGAGTTTAATCCGGCCTTTCTTCGGGATACTGACAAACTCAACAAATCCAAGATAGCTCTCAGAGATAGATTCCAGGCCTTTCATGATCTACTCACTAGAGATGGAACTACTATGGAGAGCAACTGGAAAGGGATAAAAGAGACAATCATTTCAACATTCCATGAGGTTCTGGGTCACAAGAAGCACCATCGCAAGGAATGGATCACTTTTGATACACTGGATAAGATTCGAGAAAAGAGAAGCAAGAATGCAACAATCAATATCAGCCGAACATGAGCAGAGAAAGCCAAGGCACAAGCTGAATACACAGAATTAAACAAGCAGGTGAAGAGGAGTATCAGAAGTGACAAACGTAAATATTTGGAAGATCCAGCAATGACAGCGGAAAAGGCTGCAAGAGAAGAAAACCTGAGACAGTTGTATAACACAATAAAGAAACTCGCCGGAATTTATCGTAAACCAGAGGCAAGGAAGGCAAGGTAATCACCAACATTAAATAACAACGATAGAGGAACTCTTGAATCAACCAGCCCCACTGAACCCACCCAATATCGAAGCAGCACCCACGAACCTCCCAATCAATGTTGGCCCACCGACAATTGAAGAGATCAGCATAGCCACCAGACAAATCAAGAGTGGCAAAGCAGCAGGACCAGACGACATTTCAACAGGGACACTGAAGGCAGACGAAGTAGTAACTGCAAGGATACTCCATATTCTCTTCAGCAAGATTTTGGATGAAGAACAAGTAACAACAAACTGGAAAGTAGGACACCTGATGAAGATACCAAACAAAGGCGATCTCAGTAAGTGTGAGAACTAAACAGGTATCATTCTTCTTTCAATACCAGGAAAATTCTCCAACAGGGTGTTGTTAAACAGAATGAAGGACTCCGTAGA